GTTAATAACTATTTAAAATATAAGTTTATAATTTATTAATAATTATAGCTTTAAATAAACGAATTAAATATTTAAAAAATTAATAAATAAATAAATAATAAAATACATGAAATATTCATTTAAATTATTGAATTAAATTTACTTGGAATTGTTTTTTAATTGAAAATACATGTAATAGATGTAACTGGGTTAATTTAATTGATAAAGTACATATTTTGTTGCTGGATGTAATTTTCGATGTTAGTTTATTGTGTGAGAGTATGTCATAAAATCGTAACGATGTACGAGATAAGTAAATAAATAAAAGAAATATATATATATATATATATCTTTATATGATGCTGAAGAAGAAAAACTCACAGACTTTGGTGTGCCATATTTAATTCTATGGAAATTAATTTCCACGAATACATCAGATATGGTAAATAATTTACCATAACTAGGCCACGTTATACAGATTTCGACTAGAATGACACTAATGGATATCAACTACGTTTTTTTCTTTTTGGAAGACTTGGATGTATGTTGCACTTGGCCCGTTCATTACGTCACGTTGATTGCACGCCTCAAATATATATATAATATGTCATATATTATATATATATATATATATCTACAGCGACCTTCTATAGAAGTGAAACGTGACCAAGGCTTGATCACAGTCCTCATAAAACATAACAAAAGTTGCGAATGTTCTAATATTGAAGTTAAATATATCAAATAAAAATATATAAAAGGAATAATTTTCCGAATATTTTAATAATAAAATTTTTTTGTTTGTAAATTTATAAAATGTTTTCTTCTTGTTTTTTCTTCTTTTTTTTTGATAGGAATAATTTTAAAAAATGTAGGCCCTATACCCTGTCAACTTTCTAATTAACACTTATAAATAATTTAGTCAATCAACAAATAATGTTTTTAACACGTTAATTTTTTTTCCTTAAAATTAATTTTTAGATTAATTAAGTACTTTTTTTAATCCTCTCTTTTTTTCGAATAGAAACGTTTCAATGTGCAGTTTTATAAATTGTGCTTTAAGAAATTCTGCTTTTTAAATATTTCATTTAGGTTAAATTTCTCTTCCACTTTCCTCGACAACTCCTTCGGGAATATCTAAAACACTGGAGGGAGCAGATGCACCTTCAGTTACTCCCGAAGATTTCTGATATTTTTTTAATTCGTCACCAAATGCCAATAGACCAAGCTGGGCGTGAGATGCTTCACTAAGAGCACGTGACCTCAAACACGCTCGATATTGCTCCATTGAAAGTTTAGGATCGCAAGTTTTAGAATGCCAAATATGAAATATACCAGGATCTGTAGAACGAACGACAGTTAAATGACTTCGAACGTATTTACGATAAAGCATAACGTCTTCTCCTCCCCATCCTACAATATCCTCGTCAAATCCTTTGACATTAATAAAATCACTTCTATATTGACATGTCATGCCATATCCGAAATCTCTCCAAAATCCTGTATCTCTGGAAATCACCAACTGCTCCGTTTCTGAAGGAATGGGTTTGCCTTGAAGGGTATACACAATATGAGGATTATATAGAGAAAAGACAATCGGGTAATATACACGTTTACCTGGTTGAGTGTTCAATCTACAACGTTCGAGAAATTTAGTAGAGAAGACAATGTCGACGTCACACATAAAAAGTAACACTTCTCCTTTGGTCCAATAATGAACACCTGCCTGAAGCCCTTTCCCTCTCGAAAATGTTTCGTTCAGAGTTAAAAGTTTAATATTTCGAAATCTGGTCTGACGTGATACCTGAGTTAAAATCACTTGTACCTCTCGAAGACCCTCTTCTCCAAAATAAACCACAGTTAAATAAATTCTTTTATCGTGTTTGATGCCCACCTTAACAAATTTCTCCATGAAGCTTCGAAAGACTTCGATTCTGCCAGACAGTGGTAAGATTATGTTGATTAATTCTTTTGTGGTCTTGACTAGATCGTTGGAGATAGTTTGAACTGGGCCAAACGGTCTCATCAGTACCACTTTACGATAGTGACGAGTGGCATTTTTTTCACGAAAGTATAACTGATATTGGGCCCCGGTTGTTGGTTCATTTCTATAAATACCTTCGACGAAATCATCAACAGTGTACCTCTGTTTGCCGTGTCGATCTTTATTGATCACTTCTAAAGTTCTGACAAAAACTTCTAGTAAATCTTTGCGCCTGTATCCAATGGGTTTTTCCACAACTCTCTTACCCAAACCCAATTCGACTGGATAGACCCTACTAAACGTAAAATGACTGAAAGGTATCACTTCATACTCGTTGTTTAACTGAACACCCCGTTTAATTTCTGCAGCGTTTATTTGTTTCTTTAGAAAATCTTCGCATTCATCTGCAATAGGAATTTCATTTGACTTGGATGACATTTTAATTGGAATTGGTTGAATACCGTCTTGATATTTCTGTAGAACTGCCACTTGTTTCCTCAGTTGTGATATCTCCTGTTTCAATTTATCTCTTTCAATTTGATGTTCTTTTTCTTTTTGTTTTAACAATTCCACATAATAGCTCGGTTGTGGAGAACTAATTTCAGGAAATGTCGGTCCTGAAACTGAATTCTCAGCTATTCTCATCTCTTCTTCTAACTTGAGACCGCAGCGGCCAATAAAAACAAGTGATGCAAGTGATATGGCAAACAGCAGTAAGAAAACTCTTGTTAACAGTCTCATCCTACATTCTTCAGGACTGGTTGGTCGTCCACTGAAATAAAATAAAAATAAAAATAATACATTAATTTAAGCATTCAAATTATCTAAGTGTAATTATAAAAGAATAACAGTAATACCAACTATTGTATCAAATAAAATTTAAGTCTACGTCTGAATTACTTATTTTAATTATATTATTTAATTCACTTAAAAAAATATATATATATAATAACTAAAAATAATAAATTCTGTAATTAAATTTCTAAATAATATTTAAGTTTTACATTTCACATTAAAATCAGACTTAATAAAGCAGTCGCATTTAATGGCATCATTTTTGCTATATTTAATCACTGACATTTTCAAGTTAAAAAGAAATTTTGAATTTTTACTCGATTTTTAAGAATTTATTTCAATAAAAAATAAATATACAGAAAATTTCTCTTTTCCAACATTATTATTACTTTTTTTTCCTCTTATTTATTTAAATTTTTCCTCTTTTGATAAGATAAAAATTCATTTCGAAATAGAATAAAATATTTTAAAACTTAATAATCAAATAAAAACAAGAAATTTAAAAAAAAAACGTAATGGGTCCTGCTTT